ATTAGAATTAATACATGTAAGTAAGAAATTCCATAGTCTGGGTAAACGATAAAAATAAAAATGCCTAGAGGTATTATCTTTATTAGTACATGTAGAAGACAGGTCGACCTATATTGATTAGCAGAGAAAGTGACAAAATTCCTAATATCAAAAGCTGGCGGGGGGGAGGAAAGAGACTTCAGAAAAAATAATATGTCGTTGACCTCATAAACCATCATCAATGGTAACAGATGGAGGGATACAAGTCTGGATCTATAGTTAGTCTTGTAGTCATCCAAGATCCACTTATTTGCCCTCCTCTGCACACTTTCCAGTTGACGGATATCCTTAACTAGTCTTGGCCTCCATAAGACAGAGCAGTAGATAAGCTTAGATCTCACTAGGGTGAGGTAGAGGAGTCTCTTGACCGGTACTGGAGTAGAGGGGCCAAAAGATCTCCTCAGTAGACCAAGTATGCATAGTGCCTTGGAAATAATGAGAGAGAAGTGATTAGACCATGACAAATCGTCAGTCATGATCACACCTAGGTCACGCTGAGAAGAACACTTGACTACTGGTCTATCTCCAAGGTAGTACGTACCATAATCACTTAAATAGCTGTCAGTATTGTCACTACTGTACTGGAAATGTAAATGATAAACCTTGTTACTATTAAAAGACAAATTTCAGAGGCTCCAGAGATATAACAAGTCTAAATCGGCTTGAAGATTCAAGTAATTTTTAGCTAGTTGATAGGATTTTGCGTCGTCTGCAAAATGCAAGACTTTAGAAGATTTTACACAAGTAGGAAGGTCGTTTATGAATACTAAGAAGAGCAACGGACCCAAAATACTCCCTTGTGGGACACCAGATGTAACATCTAAAGTATCAGACAGAGAACCATTAATAGATACACATTAATGCTGGCAGCTAAGATGCTCCCTAAACCAAAGCCATAAGTTCCCAGTGATACCAACACTCCATAGCTTTTGTAACAAGACATCATGCCTAACAGTATGAAATGCCTTCCTAAAGTCTAGATACAAGACATCTGTGGCTTCTTTATGGATTAGATTGTGAAATAGGTCTGACAAGAAGACTAATAGCTGTTGAAGGGTAGATCTAGCTGGTAGGAAACCGAATTGAGAAGGAGAAATAGAGTCTGAGAGAAAGACTGAGACTTGATCATATATAAGTTGTTCAAGAACCTTAGAAACATTGCACAATAATGAGATAGGACGGTAACTCTCGACCAGAGATCTATCACCAGATTTATAAACTGGTGTAATGCGATGAACCTTCCACTCTGATGGAATAGAGGAAAACTGCAAAGACTTGACAAAAAGATGATTAATTGGGGTACATAAGTACAAGAGGACCAGTACTATCAATACCTTTAGACTTCTTTGGGTCTTACTCTAATTCAATCAAAGCTGTAAAAGTGTCATGAATAGATATATTGATAGAACTAAGATTAGAGTTTACAGAATCAGAGGAAGGCATGATAAGATCTTTAGGAGGTAAGTAAACAGAGTGGAAATATGTGTTAAATGCACATACTTTGTCCAAATCAGTAGTTTGAGGAATATTATTAGCAACGATCTGAGATGGAATCAAATTTTGATGTGTTTGAGATCGAACATAGCTAAATAGTTTAAAGCTATTTTTAGAACTTACAAAACTTTCCACAAGCTGAGATTCGTAAGTAGCTCTAGCAGTAGTGATGTCAGCAGCCAACTCACTCCTAAGAGCAAGTAGCCTTTGAGAAAGGGAATTTGAGGACCATGTGTTACACTTTCTAGAGGGAGTCCTGATACAATTGATCTTATGATGTAGACATCTATCAAACCATTTAGGAAGATGGGAGTAACGACTAGAAACAACAGAGAGTGGAACAAACTATTGATTGCTGCATTAATTGCAGTTTTAATATGGGACAAAATCACCTCAACATCAGAGGATGCCAAACAAGGTAAAAAGTCCCAATCAAGAAGAAAATCATTCATCCCTTCAAAATCTGCTTTAGAATACCGTAGACGTTCAAAATTTCAGTGGGATAAAATTTCGCGGATTGCTATGTTGAAAAAGTTTCAATCGTTTTAAAATTTACGTGCAATAAAAATAATTAATGGGCGTGTTTAGTGACAAAATGGCAGAACTTCAGGCTGAATTCTGTTGTGTTTCAATGGTTCGTGGATATCATGTCTACAAGACAGTTTGGGAGGCAGCAGTTGATGGTAAGTGCTTCTTTGTAAGAGGGAAACTGAAAATGGCCATGATCCGTATGCAGTAGCTGTCATTAGAGGTAACGGTATTGTTGTTGGACACTTGGCAAAAAAGATTTCCGTCATTTGTTCATTGTTTATTAAAAGAGGAGGTGTTATTACCTGTTCAGTAAATGGCAAAAGGAGGTATTCTCGTGATCTCCCACAAGGTGGGCTTGAAATACCTTGTCGACTGCATTTTAGTGGTAAAGCTGACCCGATTGATAAAGTGGAGGCATTGATTAAAGAAGTTACAGCTAGTATTGAGGATGTTAATGCAGCTACAGATGAGAGTGAGGATGGAAAGGAAAGAGCTTTGAAAAAAAGAAAGATTGGATGTGGATAATGACACTAGTGAATGT